ACATGCTTCATGTCAGATGTAGTGATGATGGGGTAGTTGTGAGAAGACGTATGTTTGAGTAAAACTAGCTTATGCCTTCCCCTCAGGTGGTAACGTTTTCCAGCTAGTCCGTAGAATGTATCAAGTAAAGCAAATTGCCGCTTGGTCACTGAACCGGCAATCCAGGATTTACATTACAGCCCAGCACCCTGGCGCCCTCGGTACAGTAGATATACATCATCTTCTTTTGAACTAATGACTCAGCATTCATGATGTAGCAAATATCTGATGTTCTTTACAATGGCACCTTGACTACTCACTACATCTATCCACAACCTTTCTGGTACTGAATTCCAGGGTTACGTAAGATGCATTGAAGAGCATGCGTCTTTCTTCTGGGTTCCATTTGTTATGTATGATGGATACTTGCTTCAAGGCTTATTCAGGGTTGTTAGTATGCGGTACTAATGATGTGTGGGTCATAGCTGTCAGAGGAGGCAGTGCAGGTCAACTTTGAGAAGGATGAACGATACGATATAAAACACCGCGGGTGAGAGAGAGGTCGCGCTTCGGTTAGATGCAAACAGCATCATTGGTAATGAAACATGCATGAGTTGCAGAGGGCATCGTTGAAGACACATAAAGCAATACACAGTTCCGCTAAGATACGCTTTCCGTTAAGATAAGCTTTTGACCTTGAACGGCCAGGACTTTGAGTATAGGACTATGACTCTGTTTGGACGAATCGGACTTTTATGTTCACTGTATGTTGTCTCACTGTATGTTACAATGTATTGTGTAATTTTGCTGGGCCCCCTTGGAAAACAGCTGATACAAGCTGAATTGGGGCAACCCAGCCGTCTTGAGATGAAATGAATAAATACATTGTTACAGACTATTACCACTAAGACAAAGTTCACCCAATCTGGTACACAGTACGATACATTCCATGAATTATTGCCATGTCCAACTACCATATCTGCTTATGTAGGCCAATTTCTGTACACTTTATTTCATAAGCGAGACCATATCATAAATACATGAACATATTGTAACTCATATACTATATGGATAGTAGTTTGTAGTAAGTAATGTTATAAGATAGTTAAGTTTTGTAGTATTGTTGTATTATTGCCACACATTGTACCATGTACGATTGTCGAGCAATAAAGTTCATTGTTAATTTTAATACAATCTAACGATCGTTCGTAGGTGAGTTGATGCTACCGACTACCGTGTGTGGATTACATGTGGGGTGCAAAAGTTGACACTGAGTCATTTTATCAACAATTTGCTGAAGTGACGAAACCCGAATAACCTATGACAATAAACGTGCATGTAATCTGTGTAGCCGGTATGACCGCCTTTCGGCGTAACAAACCAGCTTCTGTATCTGTATAGCCGGTATAACCGCCCTTCGGCGTAACACACCAGCTTCTGTATCTGTATAGCCGGTATAACCGCCCTTCGGCGTAACACACCAGCTTCTGTATCTGTATAGCCGGTATAACTGCCCTTCGGCGTAACACACCAGCTTCTGTATCTGTATAGCCGGTATAACTGCCCTTCGGCGTAACACACCAGCTTCGCAGGCACGCGGCGCGGCGGCAGCTGGCTACATTGCACCAATCGACTTGTTACACCTACCCCTTGAACATTTAATTCTAGACTTTGTTTAAAGCTATCTATTGACAATGCCCCTACTGTACTTGGTGGCAGTGAGTTCCACTCTGCGATAGTTCTAGGAAAAAATGAATTCTTAAACGCCTCGATCCTTGGTTGATAACTCTGGTACTTGAAGGCATGGTTATTTCTTGTTCTCCTCTGGGCTGGTATTAGGTACTTAGTAATTGGGACGTCCACCAATGAGGCAAAGTACGTTTGGTAGGTGTACATGGGTAGGTAGACAATGTGACATCTTTGTAGGCTGTTTTCCTTTACTCGTCTGCAATCCAAAGTAGGTTCCTTACGTTTGTGTAACATTGCCATCTAACGGCTACGTGCAGTACCGCAGTTCCTTTGAGGAAGGATGGAATCATTTAAGATAATAAAAAAGTACATTTTGGTATGTATGGTCAGTACGCCTATGATAACATGAAAGGCCAGCGAGAAGAGAGGTATATAATGATCACTATACTAAAACTGACCAAAACCAACACATTTTGGAAAATGTGGGACATTACGTCTTCCATGGTTCAGAAAAGAAAAGTCAAACCCTTCAAGTTTTAGACAAATACTATCATTGCAAATGCGAATTGATCTATATATTGCTTATTAACTTGTCTTGTTGCTGTACTGAATCGTCAAGACTAATAGACGTCGACTACTTTTAATTGGTGAGTAAAGTCAGACGAATTGAAAGAGCTTACTGTATTCTTTTGCTGTGTGAAAGACACAGTGCAACAGCGCTACAAATGTGTGGCGGCTACCACCAATACTGCATGCAGCCGTGTTTTGTTAACGGGGATATCTAACAAATGACGTAAATGCTTCGTTAGACCTTTTCTAGAAGTCTATGGCACAAACAGATTGTTACATTTGTCGATTTCTCTCATATCCTTTGGTCAACAAGAAAATATTGAATTGATGATGAGTTTATTGCAAATTTCTGCCCGAAGGCTACGTGCAAACAACAAGGACATTGAATCAGAATAACTTCAAAATCTACATAATAAAAGGTACGTAATATCTGATGCAGTACCTCATTAAGTTGATAGTGGCGTTCTATTCCGGTGGAATAGCTGCTAATTATGGAAGGTATTGATAACTCTAGTGTTTGTAGGAGAGATCCACAGTGACAGTAAGTTAAATAATAATACATGTCTGAAAAATGCATTTCGTAATAAACTGTATTGACATTGATGATGTAAATTTAATAGTTTCCCTACTAAAATATATTATTCGTCACACAATCACATAGGGAATAGTTACCTTCACCAAGAATGTTATATATAATTATGTTTTCGTTCGTGTGTGTGTGTGTGTGTGTGTGTGTGTGTGTGTGTGTGTGTGTGTGTGTGTGTGTGTGTGTGTGTGTGTGAACACGATAACTCAAGAAGGCTGAGATGGATTGTCTTTGTATTTGGTAGGTGGGTAGGTCTTGATGAGACCTGAAACTAATTAGATTTTGGACCCCCTAGCGGCTTGTTATAGTACTGCAGCTGAACTTTTTGATATCGGTTTTGATATCTCGTGATCTGGACATGGTAGGGTCACTAAATTTGGATGGTAGGTAGCTCTTTCTGATTATGATTTCTGGTATGTGGGTACCTTAAAGAATGCTTGACGTATGAAAATGATAGTTATGTAAATAAACAGCTAATTAGCATAATTAATGAGGAAATACTATAAATCTGCTACCTTTCATGATATGATTATTCAAACGTGTGGCATGTGTAATTGTGAGGAAGAACATTTGCAGGTAGTGTTTATTCAAATGAATGATTCCTAATTTGCATAATTAATGCGAATCGTCAACGTTCGTCAAGGCCTTGGGGTAACATCATTTGGCGAAGGTATGAGATCGTGAAACTCTAGTTAAGTTTTGTGAACGTATCGTGACATTCTGCACAAAAAATAGACCATCGGCAGTTTGAAGTATTTCAAATTTTATTTCCATGCTGTACCAGGTCACACATTTTCTATTGGACTCTGCCCTTTCAGTACACAACGATTTGTTAACCACCACATTAGACAGAACTACATATATTCCACCAAGTCATCTTTAACATAACATCCATCCGATTATTGCCTCTAATAGTCGATTGACAATGTATGTAGTTATAACGAACGGATTTTTCACAAAGACTATAACAAGATAGCTCCTAAACCACTCGAAACATTATATTTCAATTCCGTTATGTGATTTTATTTTTGAATTAGATAACGTCATATTTTTTCAAACACTGACTTGTCTTTGTTTATGACATCTATTGTGATAAGAGAGCATTGGCTATGATGGTAAGGTGTTGGAAAGGTTCTAATTTTCCAACAATTCATCCTCGAGAAGTCATTGACAAGAATAATTATATTGTGTTCGTACTACAAATTCATTTTTATCCGTTCAGATAAGTCGTTTTTAATTTACATGATGGAATTAGATGATGGACGACATGGTACAGAATTACAAAATACTCTAATAATACACATAGAATCACGCTGTATTGACCACTGTCACATACAATAACTTGAACCCTCAGCTTACATTGTACATTACAACACTTGGCAATTTATACCTGTATTTATATCTGTCTACAAAGATAGCATCAATATTTTCCAGCTTAGGTATAAAATTATGTGAATATGAAACACAGAAAAGTTAACATAGACTGACCTAAAATTAAGAAGGACATTAGTTATTTGGACCTTCTTTTTTCACACTACACAACGTACCTGTTAATCAGTTTAAATGCATTCCTTTTAACTTGCTTCAATTGAATTGACGTTTTTATTTTATTTTAAGCATTTCGCAAATATCAATTAATACTCACTACGCTGTCAAATATTATCCTAATGTCTTAAACACTGACTTTATTTTGTTTTTGGATTGGATATAGCTGTTTTGAATGAAAGTGTTTCTATCTAAATAGTTTGCATTTGTGAGAAAAACGATGTACTCTAGAGTACATCAGACACACAATCTATGATTTGATTTTGATTTATGATTTATTGAAATTGCAACAGTGCAATACACGCGGAACAGAGGCAGCTGTTGCTGGTGTTGTGTCCCGCACATAGAAACGAATACTGGACAGACAATACTCATTTTCACCTGAGTCTAGTGGGGAAAGTCGTGTTAAGTGCCTTTCCCAAGGGCACAAGATCGGTGGCATGTCAGGACTCGAACCCGGGACCTCTTGATTCCGAGTCGCCCACACTGCCGTTGCGCCACACAACCCCACTAATCTATGTCTTTGAACTTTTGAATACACAGACTATCTTTCTCCACTCTTTTCCATTTTCCTATGTCGTTATATAGACACAGAATGATCATCCTCACCAATTTGTACCAATAGTAGTTTCTACACCTCAGTATGTTTCATATTTGGTGAGGAGCTGATCGCAATGACGCGTTTTGGAGTCTCTCCATTAGCTTCATGATTTGGAGTCGTCATCACATTATTTCCCTGTGGCCCTTCTGACTTCCCTAGCACCAGGGACTTAAATCCTGCACGGAAATTCCGGTTGAAATACCCATATATGACAGGGTTAACGCAGCTATTCAAGTATATCAGCCAATGGGCAATAGGATAGATGTATATGTAAACAAGATCGAGCTGGCTGGAATCCAAGCGGCCGTAGTCGTTAAGAAGTGTGATGGAATGTAAGGGCAGCCAGCACAATGTAAACACAATGACTACTGACAACAGCATTTTGATTACTCTCTTCTTCTTCTTCATCTCATTCATTCTCGCCTCCACTGATGCCTTACCGCCCCCTGGAGATGGTTTGAACCAGACCTTGTGGCCTATCCTGGCGTACAGGTACATGATGATGGTCAGCGGTCCGATGTAGCAGATGACAAAGAGCACCAGGGTGTAAACCTTCCGCCACATCTTGTTGGTCTCTTCACAAACGTGCATGACGACAATCCCTTCATAGACCAACGCGCGATCTTCTATGAGGAGAACCTGAAAAAAACACCTTTCTTGGTTAAGTTTCATTCAATGGGCAGTAGATATTGGCATAAATGTGCATTAGAGAAAGAGGGAGAGTGAGAGAGAGAGAGAGAGAGCGAGGGAGTGAGAGAGAACAACATATCCCTCTCATGATTAAAGTCCACCACAAGACATTGTTCTCACCTCTCTCGTCTTCAATAGACTATCCCAGTGAGACTAACCCAGAGCGTGACGTCAACACTCGAACAAAGGTATCTTGTAAACGATGTCGGCCCCCGTCGCGGTTAGGTGACGGCTCTTAGGCCCTGATGTAAGCAGCAGCCTCGCTATTTACCTCAAGGTTTACTGGGTGATGGTCCCTGACGTAAATAGCCTCGTCCCAACGATGGGGCCCGACATAGTTTACAAGATACCTTTGACGTCATATTACATCATCATACATCATGTTGTGTCCTTGGGAAATGCACTTAACACGCATCCCAAGTCCCCAACGGCAGTTGTCTTCAGCTGGCGGACGAGAGCAGCGCCAGGCGGGCTGGCGTAGTCAAGGCGGACTTTGAGCATAACCAAGTCATCCGGCAGCTCGCTGCAAGCATCCCAACCGGAACCAGCACGTCTCCCTCGAAATGGATCCGCTGGGGAAGACGGATGCCCAAGTGTGTGGGTCTCAGATTCGCAACCTGTTAGCCACCTTAAACAAATCCACGCGAAGGCCACCGTGTCAACTGTAACCCTCACTCAGGTGTAAGGACTGACACGGTCATACTACTCGGAAAATCTGTATCTGTACATGAATCTGTATCTGTGCATGTATATGTATCTGTATATGAATCTGTATCTGATTGCAAATTAAGATATCGAGTGGTTGCCAAGAGATATCGTGTTGTGCACATATCAGTGAGCCAATAGTACTGTGGAATACCTGTGGTATCATGACGCAGATAGCTGAGGCCCAGACTGTGATGATGACGTACAGCGTGCTGCGAATGTTGATCGCATGTTTCGTCGGATGAACGATAGCGAAGAACCTGGTTATACATTCAACAAGATTAAAAAATCGTTACACACATATACTACCAGCTGTATAAATTTGACATTAATACGAATTTCATAGAAAACTGAATAGAATAGAATGCAATTTAATATTACTACTGTAAAAATTATAATAAAAAAAATAGTTGCCATTGTGTAATATATATAAGCTTCTTACAACACAGATCGTGGGCAGATCATGTTACATTTCCCTCCGCACAGATCGTGGGCAGATCATGTTACAACATTACCCTTTGCCGCACAGATCGTGGGCAGATCATGTTACAACATTACCCGCCGCACAGATCGTGGGTAGATCATGTTAAAACATTACCTGCCGCACAGATCGTGGCCAGATCATGTTACAAGATTACCCCTGCCGCACAGATCGTGGGCAGATCATGTTACAAGATTACCCGCCGCACAGATCGTGAGCAGATCATGTTATAACATTACCCGCAGCACAGATCGTGGGCAGATCATGTTACAACATTACCCACTGCACAGATCGCTGAAAGATTATGTTACAACATTTCCCGGTGCAACAGTGCATCTTGTCTGTAGGTGGGTTTCTGAATTCTACAATTGTGCTAGCTTAAATTTCCCACATTTATAATGGAAACACTAATGAGTAAGAAGAATTATTTCATATTGATGCCTTTTAATTTTTTATGCATAATGTCTCCCAAATGACCCAATACATCTCTCCTTGAGTGACCGTAATCATATTTTATGATTTACATATTCCTCTACTTTACCCACCACCCCATTACGTAAGGAGAGGTTATATTTAACGTTATATTTATATTGCTTACCTGTCGAAAGCAATGCCGACAAGCGTGAAGAGAGACGCCGAGACCGACACAACTTGTACTGCCGGGGACAGCTTACACATCACATCTCCAAATATCCACCCTGCAAGCAAGCCGTCATGTGGGATTTTATTCGCAACACATTCTGTACTTTAGCTGAGGCTACACACACGGATAATGATAACGTCACATTTCAAACCGGGGCCCGGCCGGGATGTTTGCGTAAACAAAAAAATAAACTTTTCATATCAGGAATATACGCGGATAGTGCCAAAAAACAGTTACTCAAGCAACTGGGTATGATTTTAAAAACGTCATTTTTTCGTCAAATTTGACGTTTTCAAAATCATATCCAGTTGCTTGAGTAACTGTTTTTTGGCGTATCGTATTACCTGGATGTCCTTCATCGACGTACACGGATAGTGCTAATGATTAATTCCTTTTACCCCTTTTACCCTGTGTTTTACTGTATTTTATGTCATACTTTTCCCGCAAACTGCCCGGCCGGGCACCGTGTTAACAAATGTGGCCAAGCATAGAAAATAAGGCAAGCATGGTCCACACGTGGGTTATTCACCAACCTTACCGCGTATGATGTTGTCCACCAGGGTGAACGGCATACAGAAGATGGCCACGAGGATGTCGCTCACGGCCAGGTTCAAGATGAAGTAGTTGGTCACGGTTCTCATTCTAGGTATCTTGAGGACGACTAAGATGACTAGAATGTTCCCGATAATACTCGACGCAAACGTCAGGAAGTACGATATCCCCAGCACAGTTATTATGGGCACTGTCTGTTTCAACATGTAGTCCATCAGTCCCACACTGGTGTCGGTGATGTTGGTGATGTTGATGTCATTCAAATCCATTTTGATATCGCCAAACTTAGACTTGTATACGTGGATGACAAACTTGTATACGTGGATGACAAACTTGTATACGTGGTTGACAAACTTGTATACGTGGTTAACAAACTTGTACACGTGTTGACTTTTATTATGCTATCTTCGAGTTTCTCAATACGGCATTCGCATGAGTACAACCTGAAATATAAAACACATAGATTTATATCAGTAAAGACCTGAATCTAATTACAACTGTCTCAAAGGCCGAGTTTATGTGAAGTCACCCAAGGCGCTTTACATGTGGTTTACCCCGAAGCCGGTTTCAAGTGGCTCCATCTGAACGCTCCAAATCACATTGAAAACGCCTCGATCCTAAGCCATTTCTAGAGGTGGTTTCGAATCGGTTTTCCCGCATCGCGATTTGCGTCTGAACGCAATGTGATTTCAATGTGACTTCGCCTGGTCATGGATTACGGTGTGATATTTCTTTATTTATATGCAATACCAACTTTTACGTGGCAGCGCAGCAACTTAAAGAGCAGTAATGGTCAAATAATGTGTCCGTTCTAGAACGAGCTTCACTGCCTCTGGCGGGACCACGTCGGCATTCGGCCGAAATACGCTGGGAGGGGGGCATCAGCAAGCAGGTCATTGACCTCTGACATTAATAACACGCTACCTTGCGTATTTTCATCAAACAACAATAAATGTTGCTCAAGCGAATTGTGATCGGACACGGTTGCAAAGGAATGTGTGGCACGTGGACCAGATGTGAGGAATGTGAGTTACCCGAATCGCGGGTTGGGTGACTTCACATAAACACGGCCTAACATGCATATAGGACTATGTTTAGGTTCAACACGTGATCCTAAGTACCTTCCCCACATCCCCACTTAATCATGCAACACAATTTACCCTAGTTTAAAGGAGTGTTTTCCAAATAGCCTTCTCAAGATTTCTCCAGAGCTGATAGTGGTATTTCTGGATACATAACGCCATTGAAACATCTTGAGATTGAGAGGCATTCTCAAAGTATCACCATGAATTTTAGGAATGGGATGTTTTAAAAGCTATCAAATTTACATATGCATGAACTAGATCACTTGAAGTATATTGGATCGAGGGTCAACAGCGTCCCTGTAGTATCGTATAAGATCCCCATGCGGAAGGAACTAGTCGGTGTTTTTTGCCTCTTGAACAGTGAAGAACCATTACTAGGTTAAGACTCTTGCAATCATTGCAATTAATATTTGAGTCCACACCATGACATAAATGACATTCAGATGGTTTGAACGGGGGGTAAGGGAGTCTATCTACGAACATATCTATCGGCCGTCTTTGAATAGAAAGTGGGGGTAAGATTTGATCTTTCAGGCTCCTGGGACATCGCTTTGCAACGCATTTAATCTTATTCAGACATTTTTTGTTGTATTTTTGCCGTACTTTAGTTTTTATTCAGTTATTTTCTTTCCTTTTTCAATTATATTTGGTAGTTACCTTTTGTTTATTTAGAACCTACTTTAGAACATGGAATGTTTTATTTATTTAGAACTTATTTCTTGTTCCGGAAATTTCCTCTACATTTATACTCATGAAGAGTACCAGATGGTACTTGAAACGTTTACGCATTAAACTTTCAATTATCCAGTTAGAAAAGATTTAACGCCTTTATCAAGGTATCTCCTATACTTTAATATTTGTTTTCAAATGAAGACATTCTACCTGTTTCCTAACAGCGGCTGCTATCGAGTAATTACTTAGAGTATGTGAGTTGGTTGAAAAATCAATGGTGTGCTTAGATATTCTGACCCGCGACAGTTTTTTGTTTGGAAAGCACAACATACACGCCACGCGAGAGGGCCGTGCTAAATTTATCGTCACTAAAAAAGATGTCAACATATCGGGCATTCACCTTCGTTTGCCTATTCCTCATTGCCTCCGGGGAAGGAGACATCCTTCCGCGGAAGGGTTTTGTGAGAGATTTAGATTTTCATGTTCGCAGCTGTTTCTCGCGTTTGGGTGGACGGATTCTTTTGAGACTCGAGACCAGACACGACTGACGTTCAGAAGCGCTCTGGCCATAAATACGTCAATGCCTCTTTTCTATACTAATCGAATCGAATATGAGTTAAATTACAGTTAAATTTGATCCCTGAACACGCCCGACCTCCCCCTTGGATAGTTGGGTGGTGTATTTTTTGCTGACTTACGGCCGAAAAACAGCGAACTATGGTCGAACCTACCCACCGCCCCACGAATGTTTTAAATATTTTGAAACTTCGGCTGGTGAGCCGAACCGTAGCAAAATCGCCAGACGACGTTGCGCCGACCTACTCCATTATGGTTGGCGGGCGTTCGGCTAGCGTCCGGGAGGCACAATTCGTAAGTGGCAGAGGGTTTAGTGAGTACGTGCATATCACTCACGATCCTAGTGATGGATTTGATTTAATTTTGGAACGTTCTTAGTGATTGAGGAAAGTGACCGTTGTAGTTTGGGCAGATAAACGAGGGTCTTTATTGGTGTGACGTGGGCATCTAACTGTATAATGTAACAGTTCAAAGACTGTCGAATTATGTAAGCCAGACATTGAAGACATTCAGTCGAATGTAGCTCGGAGGACATCGAGGCTAGTGGAGTCTCTACGTGATTTGCAATTGGCTTGCCAACAAACAGATGCGTGCCTTGTATAATATCAACCCATGCGCTATTATATAAACCATTGAATACCAGACCGTCTGTCATTTTCATCAGGCAATTCTGACTGGTTCGTTGTGCCTCGATGTTAGGTGTTGTTACTGATTTACTATTGAGTGTGATAACAAAGATTTAGATACCCCTTAAATAATTTCATCAGGTTGTTGAATAAGTAAACTTCAAATTTCTTTTATATTCACAGCCACTTCTTTACGAGTAGACATGAGTAGACACTAGCTTCGGTGAGAAAATAAACTCCGTGGTTACATTGTACACTAGATTCTGTCTCATAGCCTTGGCTGTCATACCATAGCTTCAAACGGGTTTAATTTTGTAAAATGATGATGTAAGACTACATTACCATGTTTCACCTAATATAGCCATTTAGAAAACCTCCATATCTTACGCGACTGTATCTACAAAATGGCATCTCTACATACTCTCAAAGAAAAGATAACATGAGGGCCTTCAGGCAACAACAAAAACAATATTTTTTGGATGCATATGGTTGAAGCCAAAGAACGCAAATCTTTCTTTTATCTAATTACTATGAATCTGAATTTAATTATTTTATCAAGGCTATAGTCGATTTTGTGATCACATTTGAATTAGATATCCTGAAGACTCCTTGGTAAATATTGTTCTGAAGCCTGTCCACGTTCCCTGTGAGTGCGTCTGAAGCTGTCAACCTTCAACTACCAGAGCACTCGATCAAAGCACACGACATACGCTGTGCACATTGCGTACTTTAAAGTCTCATTGGTCACGATAGTACAGCTCCTGCTGAACTTGCAAGATGAAAAGGCGATAAAATGGGTTCCCTCTTAAAGAAATAGCTGAAGCTTGCAAGCTGCAGGTTCTGGTAATTGGAAAAAGGTCGAACGTGACTAACATGGATAACGTCAAAGATGGCATCCTCGCCACGCGCGGCGATGGCATATGTTTTCGACTGAGCCGGATTTTAAGCTTGTTTGAGTTTGCCAATTTACCGAACATTCCTGAAAAAGGATTTTTCAACCAAAGCGGAAATCGAGCTTATTTGAATCTGTCATCTTTTCATCACTATGGAAATACTGACTGGAGGATTAATGTAGAAAACAGGCGATGGTTTCTTAATAATATCAATAAAATTATAACGGATGGCTGTATTTTATTTCCTACCGTTACGGTAAAAACAATGAACACCTGACAAAATTCCAAATTCTACGTACTCATCAAGACACTGTAGCAGTTACACCGTGTTGTGTACATATCTTTACAGTGCTCTTTTTTAAAACAAGTGCGATTCAATAGCCCTTTCTCCCTAAAAAGTGAATACTGATGACCCTCTTGGTTACTCGTACTTGCTACGAACGATCTATAGCGCCGATGTACAACGGATATCGTCGCCACTCGAAAGCTCTAACTCGCATGTAATGCATAATGAGTCTCACCACATACAGTACAGGACGTATAGAATGTATGGGATTCATATCCTGTGCCCACTTTGTGGCATGAATACTAAAGGAATGGTCTTCCCGGTTTTGTGTGTTTTGCACGTCGCCGGTAAGAAACACAGTTCTCTGTGATCTTTCTTCTAAGTGATGAAAAGATATTTGTATGATGACAGCTTATACCGAGAAAGGTATTTTGTAAACAATAGAATAATTGTATAAAGCAGTTCATCTTCCTGTTGATGTTAATTACAAGTTAGTGGTAATTAAAGAGGATGACCTGAACTGAACTGATAGTTGTGTCGGAAAATTATGTTCTATTCTTAATTTTTAATTCGTGAACGCCAGCGACTTATTGGCCTTTTAGAGTACTGCGATTGAGTTGAAAATGTTGATCAAATGCAGCCCTAGGGAATTAAATTTTGTCAACAATTTAGCTCAAGAACGGCTGGAAGGATTAATATCATACTTGGTGCGTCGGTAGGGTGTGACGAAGTCTAGAAATGATGGGATTTTGGGCCCCCTGGTGGCTCCCCTTGGTACTGCAGCGCAACTTCCGGTTTTGATTTCTTGAGATCTGAATTTACTAGGGTCATGAATTTTGAATTATAGGTAGCTTTTGTGCTTGAAAAAAGTCACGTGAGTTTAGGCCCCCTAGCAGCTTGTTCTGGAACTTTTGGACGGTTTGTTTTAAAAAAAATTCAAGAGAGAATAACTTAAAAACGGGTTGACGGATGGTCATGTTTTTGATATGTTGGTAGCTTTAGTTATGCCTGGCATAAATAAATAACAATTATGTAAATTAGGATCAAATTTTCATAATTAATGAAGAAATTATTTGAATTTGCTGTGTGCTTTATTAGGGCATGTGATA